TTGCTTCCCTTCCTTGGTTAGGAAGAATAGCCATTCACTTCTGTCAACTCAAGTGCTAGCGGCTCGACCAACTTCTTAGTCTTGCATCCCACGTTGGGTGAAGTTCGCGCTTGCCTATGACAGCTCATATGTCTCTAGGGTGCTGCAGCACTTTTTTGTGTTTCGAAAAGATGACAATTGCCTCACTGAAGCAGGCTCAAGGTCCATCTAGACCAGTGCTCTGGTCTCCTGCAGCAGTAGGGCAGATCCACATGGGAAATGGACATTTATTTTATTTTTGAATGTATCTCCTGCCATTCAACATACCACAAAACCTGCAGACTATCTGGGTGGAGTTCCCCACTCCTGTAGAAACTGTGAGGGAACTGAAAAGAATTTCAGCAAGATCAATGGAACTCATCAAGGAATTTCTAAACTTTGTGGATGAGTTTATCCCTTCTTGGTCCTAGTCACTTTCATGTGATTTTACCCAGAATTCCATTCTATTTGAACTACAATTGGCAATTGGTTTTTTAAAAATTCTTTTCAATTTAAACGCATATTGCATATTTTATCTCAAAATAAGCAGCGGAATGTGTGTTTTCACCCAAAACTGCTGAGAAACACTTAGGAAAATTTGGGAAAGTACTATGCCAGTTGGATGCTGAGTAGTTCAAGAGGTGTACATTAGGCCATATCAAATATGATTCTGGAAAGAATGAATTCCTCAGAATATGTGGCTTCAGGAATCAATATGCCCCTCACATTGCATCTCTGGCTCACCGCTGGATCACGAAAAAGGTGTGGGGTATCAAGTGTAAATTCCTCCTCATGCAAAATATATGTATATCTTATGAGAAAAACAAAGAGTCTAGGAAATCTGAAAGTAGATGTTGCAGAAGATGCATGGCAGTCATGGACAACAGCAGCTCTGTGTCTCATTCTGCTCCTAAGATCTAAGGTAAAAAAACCTATCTAAAATGTATAAAATATTACTTGAGTGGGAAACGAAAGAAGAACTAGTGAAACCATCCATGATCAGTTGGGCACAAGATGTGGGTCACAATATTGACTTAAATCTGTGAGAGCAATTGTGGAAAATAAATTTAAATTTTACTTTCTGTTATTCACTAAAAGAGAACTATTTAAAAATGATCCACAAGTGGTATCTGACACCAAGCAGATTAGCCAAGATGTTCAACTCTAAAAGTGACAAATGTTGGAAACGCAAAGAAACAGTTGGTACAAAATGGTATACAGGTGGTACATGACTCCAGTCAAGCTTGCAAAAATCTACCATTTGCCCGATAACAAATGTTGGAAATGTAAAGAAACTGAAGGTACATTCTTCCACCTTTGGTGGACATGCCCAAAGATTAAGGCTTTCTGGGAGATGATCTACAATGAATTGAAAAAAGTATTTAAATATACCTTCTTGAAGAAACCAGAGGCCTTTCTCCTGGGCATAGTCGGCCAACTGGTGTCAAAGAAGGATAGAACTTTTTTTATGTATGCCACAACAGCAGCAAGAATACTCATTGCAAAGTATTGGAAGACACAAGATCTACCCACTCTGGAAGAATGGCAGATGAAGGTGATTGACTATATGGAACTGGCGGAAATGACTGGCAGAATCCGAGACCAGGGAGAAGAGTCGGTGGAAGAAGATTGGAAGAAATTTAAAGACTATTTACAGAAATATTGTAAAATTAATGAATGTTAGAATGATGTTGGATAGAAATTAAGTGGTTTTTAGCTGAAATATTATAAGGGAATATGAAAAATGGATTACTAACAGGTAAAAATTTAATGTTATAATACTTTAAGATTAAAGATTAAGATAAACAAAGAGGGGAAGGATTTGCTGAACTAACAAACTGAACTGGAATACAAAAAAGGGAGGCGTGAGGAGGTCCGGGAAACAAGCTAATGAAAAATAAGTAATGGAAAGATTGAGTTGTTTTTAACTATTTTTATTTTGTATTTTTCTTTTTTCTATTTTTACTTTGTAATATTTTGAAAACCTTAATAAATATCTTATTAAAAAAGAAAAGAAACAGTTGGTACATTCTATCATTTATGGTGGTCATGTAGAATAACAAAAGAATTCAAGGATATGGTGTATAATGAACTTGAGAAAATGTTTTAAAGAACGTTCCCCAAAAATCCAGAAGCTTTTCTTCTGGGAACAGTAATGACAGAAATCCCCCACAAAAAACCCCCACCAAATTAAATTATGGATGTATGTGACAACAGCCGCTTGAATTCTGTTTGCACAAAAATGGAGAACAGATACAGTACCATCAAGAGAAGAATGGCATCTCAAAATATTAGATTGCATAGAACTAGTCAGTATGACAGATAGATTAAGAAATGAAGATGATATGAGACTGAAGGAGAATTGGATGTTATATACAGATTATATGGAAAAATATTATAACAAGAAAATAATCATATCAGGCTGAAAAAATACTCAGCAGTAGATGTTATAACGTGAGATTATGTAAGGTAATGAAAATAATTTAGAGCATGGGTAGGCAAACTAATGCCTGGGGGCTGGATCCGGCCCAATCGCCTTCTAAATCCGGCCTGCGGACAGTCCGGGAATCTGCATGTTTTTACATGAGTAGAATGTGTCCTTTTATTTAAAATGCATCTCTGGGTTATTTGTGGGGCCTGCCTGGTGTTTTTACATGAGTAGAATATGTGCTTTTATTTAAAATGCATCTCTGGGTTATTTGTTGGGCAAGCCTGGTGTTTTTACATGAGTAGAATATGTGCTTTTATTTAAAATGCGTCTCTGGGTTATTTGTGGGGCATAGGAATTCGTTTGTTGTTGTTTTTTCAAAATATAGTCTGGCTCCCCACAAGGTCTGAGGGACAGTGGACCGGCCTCCTGCTGAAAAAGTTTACTGACTCCTGACTTAGAGAATAAGAAAACACAGTTAAAAGGGTAGTAGAGAGGAAACCCTGGAAAGAGTGGAAGGGAAGTATAATTTAAGACACAGGATTTAAAGAATCTTGGAAGAATTTAGATACGTTATTACCGCTATCATACGTTTATGTTTTCTACCTATGCTATCTTTTTAAAATGTATGACAGTAGCATAGCATGTGTTGATGACGAATCATAACAGAAAAGCAAATAAAAATATATTTAAAAAACAGGGAAGGCCCTAACAGCTACAGATGAGAAAAATAATATTTTGCCACTTCTGTTTGTTTTGCAGCATACAGTATGGTTGCAGCAGCTTCATAACACCCACAAACTTCTTCCTCTTTCTGGAATGCTTTAGAGAGGATCTGGCTTGACTGGATTCCATACAGTGCTCTCAGGAAATTGCCGTCTGCTTCCTTAAATCCCCTCTGCCATCTCCCCCACTTTGGTCCAGGATTCTTTGCTCCCCATCTCATCTGCTCTGTGCCGCTGAAACATCTCGCCATGCCCAATGTCCATTTCCAATTTGGAAATCAATTTGTAAGGACCTTTGGGATGGGCTGGGCTACACAAATGTGTGCTCAGCATCACTTTGAAAATTTCTGATATTAAGGTCAATTGGCCATGCACATCCCTGGAGTAACTCTGCAAAGTGGATGGTGTTAGCCCCAAGATGAACTGGATGCCCTGGGTTATTTCATTCCTTGTTGTTGTTTAGTCATTTAGTCGTATCCGACTCTTCGTGACCCCATGGACCAGAGCACCCCGGGCACTCCTGTCTTCCACTGCCTCCCGCAGTTTGGTCAAACTCATGCTGGTAGCTTCGAGAACACTATCCAACCATCTCATCCTCTGTCGTCCTCTTCTCCTTGTGCCCTCCATCTTTCCCAACATCAGGGTCTTTTCCAGGGAGTCTTCTCTTCTCATGAGGTGGCCAAAGTATTGGAGCCTCAGCTTCGGGATCTGTCCTTCCAGATTTCCTTAAGAATGGATAGATTTGATCTTCTTGCAGTCCATGGGACTCTCAAGAGTCTCCTCCAGCACCATAATTCAAAAGCATCGGTGATCAGCCTATCTCCATGGATAACAGGCATGTCTGCATACTCGACAGCAAGTCCCACTGAGCAAATCAGATCAGGCTGTTCCTCTCGTGAGTAAGTAGGCTTAGATTTTATCACAAATTGCTTGTCAACATTTTCAACCTGACCTCCCTAGGGACATAGATAATGTGGAAATAGGGACCATTCTTAATCAAATTCTGCCATCAGTGCTGGACACAAATGTAGTCCTCATCAACTAAGGCCCCATCTGCACTATTCTAAGCAGGATTGTAACACTTTAAACCACCATGGCTTACCCCAAAGTATCCTGGAGACTGTAGTTTGTCCCCAGCTACAATTCCTAGAGTTCCCTGGGAAGAAGGTCTGCTAGCTTAACCACACTGAAAATTGTAGCTTTGTAAGGGGAATAGGTGAAAGAGGGTGAAAGAGGAGAGCGCAAAATATGGTTTGAAGCTCAACATCATAAAAACAAAGATCATGGCCACTGGGCCCATCACCTCCTGGCAAATAGAAGGGGAAGAAATGGAGGCAGTGAGAGATTTTACTTTCTTGGGCTCCATGATCGCTGCAGATGGTTACAGCAGCCACAAAATTAAAAGACGCCTGCTTCTTGGGAGAAAAGCAATGACAAACCTAGACAGCATCTTAAAAAGCAGAGACATCACCTTGCCAACAAAGGTCCGTATAGTTAAAGCTATGGTTTTCCCAGTAGTGATGTATGGAAGTAAGAGCTGGACCATAAAGAAGGCTGATCGTCAAAGAATTGATGCTTTTGAATTATGATGCTGGAGGAGACTCTTGAGAGTCTCCTAACATAACATGCGGGAGACAGTGTAAGACAGGAGTGCCTGGCGTGCTCTGGTCCATGGGGTCACAAAGAGTCGGACATAACTAAACGACTAAACAACAACAACAACATGCAGACATAGGATTGTAATCACTGAAACCAACACAGTTAGTACCATAGGTACATAGGCAGCTGCTCTCCGGTGTTTCACACAGGGATCTCTCTCCCAGCATGAATTGGACACACCAGGAATCGAACCTGGCACCTTCTGCATGCAAAGCAGAAGCTTTCCCTACTGCTGTAAGAGGCATGAGGAGAGAGATGGCTGGACATGATGAACTCTCATGGAAGAACACAAGAGGGGCTGGAAGCCCAGCTGGTGTTGCTGGACAGCTCAGTTGGTAAAGCATGAGACTCGGGGAAAGCCACTTCGAACCTCGGGAGGAGGTGGTGTTGCGGGCTTCACGCCCCCAACACACACGCGGAGGCTGGCTCCCAGCCCCCGCACGATCTAGGGAGTCCTCGGGCCGTGTCATGCCCTGGCCAGCCAATCTGCTGGCTCAGGGGGTGTGGCTTGCCTTACTTAAGGAAAGTGCGACCCATTAACCTAAAATAACAGTGTCATGTGTCTTTATTCCTACTGCTGGGAGGCGGGAACTCACCACGCAAGTAGGTTCAAGCCCCACATTGGGCAAAAAGATTGTAGGGGTCTGTACTGGTCTCCTCCAACTCTATGATTCTATGCTAAAGCAAAGTTTCTTATGTAGGTTTGATCTAACCAGAGTCATAGTTTTGTTTTGTTTTATTTCAGGTTTTTGCTCTTGCTGTCTTTGGGTCCCTTTAATAATGTAAATTTGCACAGAGCTGATAATGACAAATTGGACTCAGGAAAAAATAATGCTCTGATGATCAGGACTAGGTAGTATTTTTTTTTAAAAAAGGAACATGACTCTGGAAAACAAAGTAGCAGCTTCAGAGTACAGCTTCTAACTGGTTATGGGGGCGTACCAGCTGTTCCTGAACTCTGACACCCTTCGCTTTTGGCTGTGCAGAGCTTACTTTTTTACCATCGTATAAAAAAAAGTTCTGCAATGACCTGAGTAGGCTAGGTTACCTCAACTTATGAAGAGCTGCATAAGCAAACCACGGCAAGGAGAAAACTTTCCCAAGTTGAGGAAGTTGAGGAACGCAGCAAAGTGAGGCAGAAACTTAGCAAAGTACCAGGCAATGACTAACTCATACTACTAATAATAATAATGTCGGTCGTGAGTGAATGTGACTTAAGACTTCAGAGGAAGAAATTTTAATGACCTATTTTTAGGGCTAGGAGGTCCAATCAATTCATCAGTTGGAATAACTGATTAAAATTGCCTCATTAATTAAAATAATTAGAATAATTAGCAGCATAGAGATATAAATAGTTGGTTATATAAAATACTTATTTTATTTATTACATTTGTACCTCACCTTCTCTTGAAAGGGTTGAAAGTGGCATCCGTGGTCATCCCCCCCCCATTTTATCCTCACAACAACCCTGTGAAGTAGAGTTAGGCTGAGAGATTTGGTTGAGTTGGGATTCGAATTCTGGTTTTAGCCCACTTCACCATGCTGGCCATGACCAGCCTTGTTCAGCACTGGATGAATGCCTCTCTTAAGATGGAGTCTGCCATGGCACATGTGTGCATCATTTTAAAAATAAACTATGCTTCTTGATTCAGAAATACTGTTTTATGCAAATTCATGTGAATTTAATCAGAAAAATAGTAGTCAGAAGCTCATATAATTATCAGAATTGGGTTGTGGCACTACCTGTTTCTCGTGAGCAGTTCTACTGCAAAATCGTTGGAAGTAGAAAGTTTGCCTGGATATTTCTCTCCCATTGGCTAAAATAAGCTCCACTTGGAATAGTGGAATGCAGATGGTTTTGAAAGTTGGAGGGTCACAGTTAAATTAGATGCATAAGGGGCCAAGATGGAGGCCAAAGGAAGACTTCAGTACTGTCTGTGAAAGACATAAGAAGCCCTTGGCTATAGTGATGAGGTGAATTTGGAATTAGGGGAGTTCAAAATATGAAGTCCTCCAGTTTTGAAAGCCTTGCTTCCACCATAAGCTCAATCATGGCAGGGGCAGTTTTAAGGTAGTGCGAGCAGCACGGTCACACTGGGTGCCATGCTGAAGGGAGCACCAACACTGTAGAACAGAGCGAGAGAGGTGGCATCACATAGGGCACCACTGATATTTGAGAAGCCAAAATCTGCCACTGATCCTGGCTTATGAAAGGGTTTGGGCTTGTCAGTGTTGGGGTGCGTCCAGGGAGACGGGGGCATTTGGCAGGCCCCCAGCTGGCTCCAGCCACCAGCCGGCAGCCTGGTGAACTCTGGTTCCCGGAACAGCATCAATCAGCGACTCGTGTCTCAGAAGCCTTCAGAGGACTTGAGCACGCTCTTATCTCCAGAGTGAATAACTTCTCACAACAGAAGAGGCGGACAGAGACACGTGTAAGCATTATTTACAAGCGTTTATTCAGCATCAGGAACAAAGGAAAAACATGTCTGCTTCCCTTCGTCTCTAAGCAAACAGGAATATAGCAAAAGCAATATACAAACGGAAGTTCCCAGCAGACTGTGCTGGAGAGTAAACAGGCATGTGACACACAACAGTCATGCCTGTTCCTTTTAAGGTGGAACGGAACTATATCCTAACAGTCAGTAGTATTTTCCCCAGCCAGTCTCTCTACCCCTCACCAAGCAAAGCCAAAAAGCCTAGCCCTGCCAGCCTCTTCTTTCTTGCTTCTAGAAGTGGGTGCTGGCTGGCATCTTCCTCCTCCTTAATCTCAGTTTTGCCTGGTAGAGATCAGAAGGTAGCAGAATGGGAACAAAACTCAAATTAGCTCTGCTTATCATTAGCTCCAGCTCTATCTATTGTTGGTCTTCCAGACTTCTGCCCTACCAGCTCCCAATGAGCACCAGTCACCACTGATGTACAGGACCCAACTGTTCACATAACTGGATTGGGCCCCTTGCTCTGATTTGTTAACATCTCTGCTGCCATTATGATGGCACTGGCAGCAGGGAATGGTCCTTAGTCTGCCTTGTGCTCTTGAAGAATAAATGGAGCACTATGTAAACAGTTCCTGGTTCCATCACTTTCTTAAGAGCCAAAGAATAGCACAATCAAAACTATCATCGCTTTCCTGTAATCATTTTGTCCATCAGAATGCAAGTTCTTTTAGTCTCTATTGCATGCTTTCTGTTTACTGCTCTGTGCATGCCCAGTAATTGCCATCCAGTCAACACCTCAAAAATGAGCATTTTATTTCCCATAATATCCTCGTTTTTCAAACCTTTACTTAAAATGAATAAAATGAGTTTGCACAATTTTAAATCCAAATGCATTAACTCAAATTGGTGCCTTGGAAATGAGAGATACCGTTTGGTAGACACTTCACATCCACAAACTAGAACAAACAAACAGCCAATCTATGCTTGTGAAATGGGTATATTCCATTTCTGCTCTTGCTCTTTCTGTGTGTGTGTGTGTGTGTGTGTGTGTGGTTTGCAGGAGTCTGGGAAGGAGCCTTAATTATATTAGGATGGATCAGCACATTGCCTTCTGTGGGTCAAAAGACTCCTTCAATCCACTGAAGGCCTTTGAGTTCATATTTAAATGTACACCTATAATTCACACACACACACCCCATTTTGATTGCAATAACAACCATTACAGAAACAAAACTAACATCCCCGGTCCCCACCCTGACTCTCAGATAAAAAATTCAAGAGTTAACTAAGATCATTTTGCCAAAAGCTATTGTAAACAATGCAATAAATGCATACTAAATCTCGATAAAATCAATATTGTGACTATTGTGTTTTAATTGTTGTAACCTGCCCCCCCTCCCCTGTTTAAAGCCCATACTTGTTTGGTAAGTTTCTCCACAAGAGCGGCTGAACAAATTTGTTGATGCCAACAGTCTTTCAATAAATTATCCAGGCTCTTCCAGTTGCTTACCACTTTTTAATACACCTTGCTGCCACCAATGGAAATGTAATAAAAGCTTTATGTAGTAAGTCTCTGTTCTCCCCATCCAAAACCGTCAACAGAGGTTATTGTGGGGGACAAAGAACTGACCGCTGGGTAATTGTGCTAATCTCCTGGATGATTGTCTTCTAAAATCTCCACACAACTGTCACAGGTGGTAGAAGGTTCCAATCTGCTCACATTTCTCCAACAGAGGAACATGGTAGGAGGTGCTGCTAGAGGACCCAGAGTGAGGGGAACTGGCAAATGTTGGCTCCCACCTTCCGTTGGCAAAAGTGACGCATATGTGGAATGGTGGTGGAAGTAGCAGCAGACAGTAGGCAAAGCAGGCCTACTTACAGCCTGTTCGTGGTAGTTTGGCGTATGGGCTCCTGCTCACCTTGACCCTTCTCACAAGGAGTCAAGCATGGCTGGTAGCCTTTGCAAGCACCCAAGTTTGATACCTTGTGATATCCTTAATATAGAGCCTCCATATAGGGAAACAACAAAGAGAGGGGGCTGTTGTCTCCAAGCCCTGGTTGTGGGTTCCCTGCAAGCATCTTGCGGGTTTCCTGGCCACTGCAGAAAGCACATATTAGTGGGTTCCCTGTTGGAAAGGATTACCCTTTACCGCCAGATAGTGCTATGCTGAAATCTGCCTTCCAATTTGTCTGCAAAAGTGTTTTCCATTTTTCTGCTTTGTTCTCAGAACACTTGAGGATTTACTTAGAATTTCTTTTAGAGTTTCACTGGGAACAGGTTTTGAGCTTATTTTGCAGCTGCAAAATGGATGAGAGTGATGTGTGTGTGTGTTCCCTTTCCATTACCTGTTTCTCCAGCATTCTGCAGCCTCTTCGGCTGCCCACGCTCCCTGATCTTGGGGGGGGGGGGACCCACAGGAGGAGTTGCCTCATGATGTCTTTCCCTAGGCTTTAAGCTTTGGCACCCAGGAAGGCTGCAGAGTGTGGACCATTGGAGATACTCTTTTTAGAAATGAAGGAAAGGAGTGTCATAAATGCCCCTTGGCCATCTAAGAAGTAAGATAGGGTTGCCATATTTTGAGAATGGTCAAAAGAGTGCAGGAGATATTCTGGCACATAAAAGAGAATTAACTGTGATCGAGTAGGCTGAGGTTCCTGGAATCATCTGCTGAAAAATCGCAGCAATGCATGTCCCATTTTTACAAAAAGCAAAAAACCCAGTGCCTTAAAACCTGAGCTTTCTGCTGGTTGTTGTTTTTTTTAAAAAGAGTACTTATTTAATATCACAGGTTGCTTTTCTGCTTCTTCAGTGCTGCAGTCAACTGCCTTTCATTATTCAAATTAAAAATTCTTGGGAGATCTTGCCGCTGTCAACAGCCTTTGACTAGTTCCCTGTTCAAGGATCTCAGGCTTTCGCAAATCACTGTGGGTGGAAAAGTCAAGTTGGGGAATAAAGTTAAAAAATGCAAAACAAATCCCAGTTTTTGCCATGGCAACTATAAAGGCTGACCATCTTCAGTCATGAACAACTTGCTTCAGTGTGCTGAGATGTCCCCCCCCCTTCCCAGAGAAAGCCCCCATCAAACTAGAATTGGAATGTGACATCTTAAATATCAGTTATATTTAGAATGGGCTGTTAGTTGTGCTCTCTATTAAATGGGAACTAATTCACTTGAGGTCTGCAAGCCCCTCATATACCTCACAGTCACCATTATAAGCAAGGCACACACAGAAAGCTGCTTGCCTGGATTTATATATGTCCTTCCCAAGCTTCAGTCAATAAGCAGGAAAGAAAATGCTGTTGAGTTCTTGCAGAATTGGCAGAGTCTGGATGTTTTGCCTGGATCTGAAGGTTCTTTCACTTGCAGATGCATTTTGGACCACACTCCCCTGTGTCTGAGCATAAGAGCCCCTTAGTGATACATCTAGGTCAGCATCCTGTTCTCACAGTGACCAACCAGATGCCTGTGAGAAGCCTGCAAGGTGGACATGATTGCTACAGCTCTCTGCTCACCTGTGATTCCCAGCTACTGGTATTCAGAGACATGATTCTGGCTTCAGGTGTGGTCCATAAGATATTTGGGAAGAGGCCTTTGGGCACCATTTCGGCTGTCTTCTCATCTCTAGTATGTGCAAAGGCTCCTTATGGGGTTTTATAAAAGTAGCATTTCTGCTTATTGAAAGAGCTGATTCTTGAAGTACTCTGCATGCTTCTCCAGATGTGCTAACTTGGGGGTCCATGGATACCTCACGGTCTTCAGACACACACACACATACATACACATGTAAGTGCCTCACAAGGCCCTCTGCCTCTCCCATTTTTTAATGAACTTTTTAGGGTTGTTCGAATTTGGATGTGCCTGTATTGGGGTATGATTTTGTGATTTGGGTTTTGGGGGGAGCAGTAAAAACCAGTGGTTTTTTCTTATCTGAAATGGGCATGTTGTTCAACATCATCTTAGATTTGCAAATGTGCCCCCATGCAAAATAAAAATGAGGACCCCTGTGCCAGTGGAATAAGTTAGGGTGTATTCCTATACACCCCTGCAAGCAAATCCCGTTAAAAGTAACAGAACTTTCTTTTGGGTAGAAATGCATAAGATTGTGCTGTTAAGCCGCTGTCTTCCAGGACGACAGCATTCCTTATTTTATTTTATTTTATTTTGGCCTGGAGTCAATGGGAACTGTGCAATTTCCTTCCCTTCAAAACACCAGCAGTTGTGAATTCTGTTGTTCTGCTGGCCCATTGATCAGGACAGTTGCAGCTCTGAAGCTGGCTGTATACCAGGCAGTCAAGATCTCTTTGATTAATCCCCTCCTGGTTAGTTTAAGTGAGAGAAAGCCCCCCTGAGGACTCAGGTTTGCTCTCCTCCTTTGCAGAGATCAGAGACAAATAGTTTCTTCCTGTGTTATTCTTGTCTTGTGTAAAGAGGATTTGTACAAGTAAGTCCCTGGTGTAAAGAGTATTGAAAAAAATGTTCTAAAGGATTAAAGCTTCTCTAATGATCTGACCCAGAGTGTGTGTGCCTTCGAACAGACTGCGTGGATGGAGTGAGGTTTCGGCTTCGAGTAATGAGGCGCTGACTAGCAATAAGAGCCAGAGAGGATGTGGCAAAGGGGGGGGTGGCAGGAACACTGAATCCATCTGTGTTTTATTTATTAAACTGAAGCCTGAAGATTATGAAGAAACACGGAGCAGAGGCTCAAAGGGGTGGAGGGAGGCAGGAAGACTTTCAAGGTAAAGAAGGATCTTCAGGTTGATTAATTCTGGGAGTTGTTTGTTTTGTTTTGTTTTGTTTTGTTTTGTTTTGTTTTGTTTTGTTTAAGGCATTTCTATACTGCGTAATTGTTCACATTTCTACATGGTGTACCTTTATTTGTTTATTGCATTTATATTCCACCTTTTCCTCCAAGGAGCTCAAGGTGGTACAGTCATACCTTGGTTGTCAAACGCCTTGGTAGTCAGATGTTTTGGCTCCCGAACGCCGCAAACCTGTGAGTGTTCTGGTTTGTGAACTTTTTTTGGAAGCCAAACGTCCCACACGGCTTCCGCAGCTTCCGATTGAGCTCCTGCAGCCAATCAGAAGCCATGCCTTGGTTTTGAATGTTTTCAGAAGTCAGACTTCCAGAATGGATTCCATTTGAGAATCAAGGTACGACTGTATACATAATTCTCCCCCTCCTCAGTTAGGTATGGCTGATGGAGAATGACTGGCCCATGGTCACCCAGTGAGCTTCATTCATGGCCAAGTGGGGATTTGAACACTGGTCTCCCAGGTCCTGGTCCGGCACCCTAACCACTACACCACACAACCCACAGAAAATGGAACAACAAAACAAAAACGTTTCATAAACCTGAGCACTGCCTTACAAGTCTTAGCTGTATGTCTGAAGTGCAGCAAGAAGGATACCTGTATAATTTCAATTGGGAGGGAGTTCCACAGGATTTGGCCCACTACACTGAATGCATGTCTTCTAATGATTATAAGCCGTGCACCTGAGCCATGGGGGGGGGCACATCAATTTGTGATTTTTCTTTTTTAGAAAAAGAAACACGGTTCTCATGAAAATTCAACAGCAGTGTGAATTTCTCCAAATATACATTTTCGCCTAATATATACATTTTACAAAAGCAATTTTCCCCAATATAAGGTATTTTTGTTTATTAGTTTCACTAATGCATGCATTTGTATGCACACTTTGCCCCAGTACTGAATTATTATTATTATTTGTACATATTACTTCGTTGGAGAACTGCATTGCAAAATTCAGAGAAGTGTAAATTCTGAAAGATGATTCTGTTTTCGTTTGTGTCTTCAAAAAGTTTGAATTATGTGGTTTCTGCTTTAGATGTGAACTGAATTGAGTTTCTCCCCCTGTGTGATTGGATCATACTGGAAAGCTTCCCTGGGGTGCTTCTGTCAGCTATCACACTCTTATTTATTGTATTGTATTTTAAGTCATATATCTTGGCTAATATATTATTATGAATAATAATAATAATGGCTAATATTACCAATATTTTGGCATTAAGCAGCATGTTTGCTATTGTTCTTGTTGTTGTCAACAAATAATTCTCATCATCATCATGATGCTGCTTAATGCAAAAATTTGCTTCTAAGTGGTTTACAGAAAATAAAAACTGTTGAAATACAGAATTATCAAAATATAGGTAAAGGTAAAGGGACCCCTGACTATTAGGTCCAGTTGTGGCTGATTCTGGGGTTGTGGCGCTCATCTCGCTTTATTGGCCGAGGGAGCCGGCGTACAGCTTCCGGGTCATGTGGCCAGCATGACTAAGCCGCTTCTGGAGAACCAGAGCAGTGCACGGAAACACTGTTTACCTTCCCACCGGAGTGGTACCTATTTATCTACTTGCACTTTGAGGTGCTTTCAAACTGCTGGGTTGGCAGGAGCAGGGACTGAGCAATGGGAGCTCACCCCGTCGTAGGGATTCGAACCGCCGACCTTCTGATCGGCAAGTCCTAGGCTCTGTGGCTTAACCCACAGTGCCACCTGCATCCCATATATCAAAATATACAATAATTCTAAAATGTACAGTAAGATGCTGCCTTCAAAACAACCTGGGTTTAAAGCAGGTGACTCAAGTTGAGAGTTCAAGGAAATGTCTGTGAAAACAGGTATATCTTTTAAAGCTGGTGGAATGCCAATATAGATGGGACATCTCCTATTTTAGCAGAGAATGCATAATGCCCATCTCTCAGAGGTGGGCTTCACCACAAGCCAATAAATCAGGCTTCCTCAAACTCGGCCCTCCAGATGTTTTGAGACTTCCCATCATCCCTGACCACTGGTCCTGCTAGCTAGAGATCATGGGAATTGTAGGCCAAAAACATCTGGAGGGCCGGGTTTGAGGAAGCCTGCCATAAATCATCAGGTAAGACTAACCAGGTTTCATTTGTTCTTCTTAATGCCTTTACTATAATCACAAGATTAGGGATTCAAGTCCTTCACATGAGCGAGGGAGAGTGGGAACAAGCACATGAGCTTTTCCATTGCCAGTCCCATCACTCTCCACAAGTTGGAGGGATGAATTTCTGCAGCAATGGCCCTCTTCTCATGTAGGCGCCAGGCACAATATATGTCCTTGGAATATTGGAGTTCTAAGCCACACAGCGAGCTTCCATGTGCAGCAAAGTTTAATTGCTGCAGAAGTTTGCCTTCCAAACAAAGGCAAGATGATGTTGCTGGCTACAGCAAAACAGTGGAGAAGGTGGGGTCAATGGGTTTGCCTGTGCTCTTCCCCTCATGCAATGTAATCATGTGTAGTGAACATCCAAGATATGTTGAATCTCAGACTGCTTTGGGGAAGTTCCTCAGATATTGGATATACGAATGCTGAGAGTCACCTGAATGAGAGTGTTGACATTTTGCTTGTTTGTGAAGTGTGTGTGTGTGTGTGTGTGTGTGTGTGCGCATGTGCGCGCGCGCACACACACACACACTTTCTCACAGAAATCATATTGGATTGTCAACATTCACAGGTGAATGTCAACATTCATTCAACTTCAGGAGCTTCGTTTGTGAATTGTGCTGTATTACAAAACCTGTTCTTTTCCCTCCAAGACAAATGCAAAAGGAGAGCGAGAGAGAAGAAATCGGAGAGTATGGTTGCAATGAAAACGCAGCAGCACCTGGGGGAAAGAAAAGGAAATTGTCACTATACTGTCACTTTAAGGCTTAAGGCAACATTTCTTGTTTTTAACATCACAGCGTCATCCGATGTCACTTCTGATTCAGTAAACAGGACATTTTTTTATGGCTGTCAAAATAATCACTACAGCTCGGTGAGCCCTCAACAGCACAATTCAAACGGGATATGTTTATTTCCTATTTAGCTGGGCCTAGTTAAGGGAAGCTTTTAAATGTTGTGTCATAAGCAGAACTTGAATGAAAAGTTTGCACTGAACGCCCATTAAAAGTCTCAGGTCAGGAACTTGTTCATGCAGCCAATCCCGGAAGAAAGCTGGCTTGGAGTCAACGCCTGTCAACTGATAGGCAATAACTTCAAGCTTCACTTGATTTGGATTTTCTTTTGTAGTGCAGCTGGCCACCTAACAGCATAGTGATGTCAAGTGATTGACAGTGGGTGGGGCCCCATCCACCTATAAAACTGGTCCACCATGGTTGGGGAAGCCAGGATCACCTGAACCACCTGGATTCTGTTTGCACCTTGGTCTAGAGCAGTGTTTCCCAAACTTGGGTCTCCAATTTTGGACTACAATTCCCATCATCCCTGACCACTGGTCTTCCTAGGTAGAGGTGATGGGAGCTGTAGTCCAAAAACAGCTAGTGACCCAAGTTTGGAAAATGCTAGTCTAGAGGTATCTGAGGGCTGGTGGAGTACAATTCTTACTTTATCAGCTTTGAATTATGCGCCTTTAACAGAGGGGTGATGAACCTATGACCTGCACGCCAAATCAGGCCCACCAAGCCTACTAGCCCCCAGGTTGTATTTACCACTAGCAACAGCAGCAAGAGCATTGAACAAGGCACCTCTTCTCCTTCTTGCATGCTGCCGCTGCAAGCAGTTCTGAGTGCGCCAAAAACCGGAAGGGAGAAATAGTGGTTGGTCCATCCTATTCAAAGAAAGTGAAGCTGGAAACTGTCAGCAGTTGCAAACTTTGCCCTAATATTTTGGTGTTCGCTTTACGCGGCTCTTCTTTAACCCATTGGGCTGCTTTTATTTATTTAGCACTTATGAAGCATCTAAAGAGTAAAATGTTCAGAAGTAGCAAGGAAATGACAGAACATGCCTTCTGTTGAATTAATGGCCTCTGAGAAATGCCCTAAAACTGAACTAAGCCACACAGCTAATACTCTATATGTGCATCCTGTGTTTTGTACAACAGCTGTTCCTCAAGCTAACGCTCTCTGAGATGTGACAGAATAAGGACTCGCTGCCAGTGCCAGTCACCCAGCTGCTGCCAGTTTTGAAGTGCCCACTCCAGAATTAGTGCCCACTTAAAGTAGCCTCTCCAAACCCTAGAAATGAAATTGCTTCAATGCAAAAATTACAGTGGAGGTGATCAAATTCATGGCAAACACAGGATGTCCTCGAGGAAACAAACACCAAAGTGAAAATACAGAATATGAAATGATTCCTTACAAACTCTCTGGTTCTGGCAAAAATGTATTGGCACTTCCAAAGGGTCAAGCAACTGTGGTGGCCTTGGGAAGAAACATACTCAAATGCTTATGGTCAGTTGTTGAAGCTGGGGAGGGCAGCATCTGTTGCCCATCAGAGGCAGATTTAGGGCAGCACGACCCGTTCCCCCGCACCAGGCACAGGCAAACTCAGCCTATGCCTGGTGTAAGCACTGGTCCTGCTAGCTAGGGATCATGGGAGTTGTAGGCCAAAAACATGTGGAGGGCCAAGTTTGCCTGTGCCTGTCTTACACGGACCACTGCTGAAACTCGAAAGACCAAAGGTTGTCGCTGGTCCCACACTGGATCAAGAGGAGAGGCAGGCTTAGTATATTTATACCAGGACACCATGAGGCTTTGGAATCAAGCCTGTTTTGGATTATGTATTCTCAAGTTTTAGTGTCCTCTTCAGTAAATCAGGTCCTCCCTTAAAGAGGGCACATGTTGCAGTGAGACCTGGCAACCAAACCCTGTGTTGTAGGTGGGTAAGATTGGATAGCCACAACACCCAATTGGTAGGTGCCTTGATGCAGGGTTTAATCGGGCCAATGGGATGCAAGCTAAACAGATCAAGGGACATATATATACCTATGCACGTGACCCAGAGCTTCCTCTTTGGTGTGTGCATCGGAACACCCACCCACCTCTCCCTACTTTTAGGGCTTATGAGCTTGACCTTGCTATGCCGCCGTGTGTCATCTGTTGTTGGGACAGGGGCATGGCAGGAATTTTCCCCACTTGGCTGATTGGCTGGTGCCATTTGGGTTTCGCCTGCCGCATAGCAAACTGTCACAACTTGTAAGGTTGCGGATAGGCTCTGGTTCAGGTGATAGGGATGGGAGAGCGCTCTCGCCATCCCTATGTGAAAGGTATTCCGTTAAAGGATTCCAGGGACTCGATGGTTTGGTCAACCCCTGAGAGGGGGTTGTGCCCATGCCTGAGTCCAGGGGGGCATTTGGGTGGTGGAGATAGCCTGTTCCTGGCTTTCTGCTTATCCAGGTGTTCACCCTTGGCTGACCTATGCTGGTGCCCTGGGTCAGTACTACCTGCAGTGGTGCAGGGAGCTAGTCAAACCAGAACCTATGCAACCAGTCACTTGCTGTAGTCAATAAAGTTGTGGCCTAAATTCTGCCCAAAACCAAACCAAAATTTGAGTCTTGTCTGAAATTAAGGGGGAGGTTTAAACGTCTGAACACACAAAAAGGAACTGACGTGTGCAATGTTGGTCCTTTCAACTGCCAGGCAAGCCCGTGGACTGGTGAGGCCTGGTAAAAACCAATCCAGAGACTTGCTAGGTAATTGTTAGATCCAACATCGATCATTTCTACTTCTTGTTGAAGAGAACTCTGGTGCTTGAGTACGCACAATATAAAATAGGTTGCGAAACAGAGATCTCCGTATTACTCTGTGGTTCTCAGTGCCAATCAGCTGAGGAAGAAGATGCAGATGATCCCATCATATTTCTTCCCTCTCCCTGCTGCCCAGCACCTGACTGGTGCTGGAAATATCTAAGGAGTAGCAGGCACATGGGTCTATGCAGTCAGTTGTTTCAAGCACCAGTTAGCTGGCCATCACAGAACGGGTGAGGTATGATAGGATCTCAGCATGCTTGGGGTGGGAGAGGAAAGACTTTGAATCTCCCCAGTTCTGCAGTGATTTTCCAATGTTTTAGACAGAGCTGTTTCCCATCCCTTCCTAGGAGCCTTGGTAGGCTTAGCTTGTGTTGTACAGTCGTACCTCTACTTATATATCCCACTGGATATGGAATCTTTGGGTTACAGCCATGGCAAACCTGTATACTTCTGGATTTTGCAGCTCTCGCATGCGCAGAAACGCTCAATCGTGCCGCACGCATGTGCAGAAGCGCACCTCTAATTGCGTAATTTTCAGGGTGCGAAAGGACCCCTGGAACCAATTCGTATCTGGAGGGTCCACTGTAATATAGACAGGGTGCACAAAAGAGTTGTGTGTAACTCATTTGTGGTCCCTCTTATCTCACTGGTGGTGGCCAATTGCTATTGCACATTTGAAAAATTTGAACATGTGATGCTTGAAGCAGCCCCAAGAGTATGGTATGAGTTCATACTTATAGTTACATAATACCTGCCATCTTGAGATATTACCAGAACTGGAGATTTGCAAGTTTGCTCAGGAGCATTTTTCATCTAGTTTAATAGGCGAAATTTGAGGCAGTTTGATGGTAATTGAAACAATGGCTATTGAATAATCAATGGACGTGGTGTCTGACTTGCACTAAATGAGTTGGCGAGTCCCTTTCAGAGTGATGAGTTGTTCACGTTGCAAAGCCAGTAGCACAAATGAATATGTTTTTTTGGAAAGCTCAGCAGAAACAGGATGAACATTGATGTGGACTTTGAGCTTGTTGCATCCCCAGGGCTGCTGATCAGGTAACAGTGCTTCATGCTCAGCATTTATATTCTAAAAAAATTAACCCAAACAGTGTGCTGAAAGAAAGAGAGGTCCACATAAACCTCAGCAGGTGGCCATAGAGATGGCAGGGGAAATTCATTGGTTTTGCAGTTGAATGAGAATCTACCAAATGCACATTTCCCAAAGCAATATGCAAACTGAAACATAGCTATCCTTTGAAATTCACACCTCTCTAAAGTTTGTGATGCTGTTCCCAAAAGTGTATACTGGAGTGGAAAGTCTGCACAAAAATGCATATATTGGGGGGGGGAGAGATTTCTTGCCAAAACGCATATATTGGGCAACATGCAGACAAAAATGTGCATATTAACCACTGTGAAGATTTTTATTTCTTACACTCAAGAGGTATATAAATTTTATGAAATATATTAAAATATGCATGACAGTGTGTATGGATATTTGTGTGGATTTGTAAAAAAAAGTGATACAAAAATTGAGTGAACTGTATTTAAGATTGGAAAAACGAGAAACTGGAACCAACACATCCCCTGCATTGCTCTTCTTAGAATGGTGAAGAGTCTCTTAATAAATTTTGTTAGTCTTCTCTGTGTTCTCTTTGCTTCCTCTGAAATTCCTCAAATACTTTATTGCAGTCAAGCAAATTCTCCCTTGAAATATTTTCACATTGAATGTTATTATGTTTTAAAGCTACTAGTTTTATTTACATCTTGATAAATTTTTATGAACATAAATCCTATGTTCATTCATCTTTTGATCAGTATTTTAAATGACCCTTTGATATGGTCTTATGTAAACTGCTTAGAGGTTTCTGTTGATTAAGTGGTAGATAAATCTTGTGAAATAAATAAAAATTGAAAATTACCAGGCAGGATACAATGCAAGAAAAGCAGACTTCCAAATGCTCTCTGGCCATGCTGAGAAATACTGAGCTGATTATACTGAGTTTGCACACCATAAAAAAATAAATAAGAAAAGCCTTGCTGGATCCAGCCTAAAAGCCCATCTACTCAGCATCCTGCTCTCATAGTGGCCAACCAGTTTCCCATGGGAAGCTTGCAAGCAAAGACTGAGTGTAACAGCACTCTCCGCCACCTGGGATTGCCAACATCTGGCCTTCAAGGGCATCCAGCCTCCAAGAGTGGAGGTAGGAAATAGCCAGAGTGGTTAGTAGCCACTGAGATCCTTATGGCTCCATAACATTCTCTAATGTTATGCTAAAGCCATCCAAGTTGGTTGCCCCTTGTTACTTCTTGTGGAGCATATTCCACAGTGCTGTGTGTGGAAAAAGTACTTCCATTTGTTGATCCTGAACCTTCCAATATTCAGCTTCATTGGATGACCCTGGGTTCTAGTACTGTTGTTGTTGATATTTAGTCGTTTAGTCGTGTCCAACTCTTTGTGACCCCATGGACCAGAGCACGCCAGGCACTCCTGTCTTCCACTGCCTCCCGCAGTTTGGTCAAACTCATGCTGGTAGCTTTGAGAACACTATCCAACCATCTTGTCCTCTGTCGTCCCCTTCTCCTTGTGCCCTCCATCTTTCCCAACATCAGGGTCTTTTCCAGGGAGTCTTCTCTTCTCATGAGGTGGCCAAAGTATTGGAGCCTCAGCTTCAGGAACTGTCCTTCCAGTGAGCACTCAGGGCTGATTTCCTTAAGAATGGATAGGTTTGATCTTCTTGCAGTCCATGGGAATCTCAAGAGTCTCCTCTAGCACCATAATTCAATAGCATCAATTCTTCGGCGATCAGCCTTCTTTATGGTCCAGGGTTCTAGTACAGTATTATCTATTTTCTTCTTACTATGCATAATCTTATATACCTCTATAATGTTTCCCCTTTACTTGTCCCTTTTCTAAACCAAAAGAGAGAGCCCCAAACATTGTAATCTTTCTTCATACGGGAGTTTCCCCAGCTCCTTGATCATTTTGGTTGCCCTTTCTGACCCATTTCCAGCACTCCGCTACTCTTCTTGAGGTGATGTTACAAGAACTGTTGATAGTATTCTACGTGTGGTTGCACCAGAGATTTGTTTGATGGAATTAAGGTATTGGCTGCTTTATTTTCAATACCTTTCCTAATGATCCCTAGCACGGTATTCACCTTTTTCACAGACGCCACATACTTAGGCTGGCATCTTCATCAAGCTACCCACTATGACCCCAATATCTCTTTCCTCATCACTCACCACCAGTTCTGACTTCATAAGCATGTGTGTGAAGTTAGGATATTTTGCCTCAATGTATGTCATTTTACAGTGTATGTCATTTTACCATCGTGACTTGTATTTCCTATTTAAGCTTCCTGATTTAAGTATTAGTTGTATCAACACAATAGGATATTTGCCTTCAATGTGAAATGTAATTGTTTCTAAAGTTCCAGTGAATATTTACACTTCTTCTGTCCCTAACATCTGTCCTGCCTCTTGGGGCTAGAATACAATGTACCAAAGAGATCTATGCGCCACACTCAAAACATGTGTCTCACTCACAGTTACCACCTTGACATCTTTAGAACATGCCCCACCGGTGAGCCCCACCTTTCAACATCTCTCTTCTCCCGCAGCAGATGTGTTGCATTGGAAAGAGAATTTTTTTCCCCACCAGCTAGCTGTAAATGCTAAACAGATCCCTGAGCTATGAAAAAGAACGCCCATCTGCTATGGATCTCTGCCACCCCAACAACAGACAGATGCTCAAACAGAATCAGGAGGAGTGTAAAAACTGCCTATAGGAAAATGCAAATCCATGTTTTGCTATGAACATCAATAATTGGACCAGGGAAAGATTTCATCAAGCTTGGCTGATTGTGCAACACACACACACACACACACACACACACACACACACGGTTCTAGCAAAGCATCTCTGTTGAACTCCTGCTCCCCCTGGTCCATCTGTAGCCTGCCAGCCCTGTATGGAGGGTGCTTGGAATCTTCCCCACGCCCAGTGTTTATCGCCTTCCTTTCTGAGGCTATTTCACCAGCTAAGAGCCACTTACAGTTTTGCATTCTACCCAGATTTAATGACTTGGTCTTCCTGTCAATTAGGAAGGCATCTCGCCTCATTACCAAGAGGCATCCTGGACTGCTGGAAGATGCTCTGCAGAGTGGATTTGGACCAGGATTTTCCTAGCCATTATCGGCTACATATTTGGGTGTTTTTATTCATTTCCTTCAGATACCTCACTCCTGCCTTTCTGTTAAGACACCTATAATGAGTATGGGTTGCTCGTGCGTAAGTTGCCGCCTCTCCAGGCTTTGTTGCCTTGGTAAACCTTTCAGTCTGGGCAGCCCTTCACTTCGTGGCTGCCTCAGTCGCTAGCAGAATCCGTCAGTGGGCGTTTCTTAAATCTTTTCCAACATAAAAGTTGTTTGACACCCAGTCTCCTCCTACTCTCTCTGCGCGGAAGTCTTCTGCGCAGGGTGGGCGTGGGACCAGTGCTCTCCCCGCTGGTGTCCAGTGAAGAGTCCTGGAGCCCTCTCGCCGATTCCCCCATCAGCCCCTCCTTATCCCTGGTGTAGCGCTGATTTGCTTCCCCATCTGCGGAGCTGCCTCTCTCCCTGCTGGGCCCTTCTCCAGCATCATTTGAGAGCCTTCCCTCCACCTCTAGCTCCGATGTCAGTTCCCTGACAACACCCAACATGGTTTGCAACTAGTTCTGACATCAGGTAATAAAACCCACCATAAAACAATATTTAAAACCTGCAGCAGTAGTCTAAAAGCATGTTTATTTTTTAATGAAAGCAATTATAGAAGCAACCATCCATTAAAAACATCCTGGAGGAATAAAAGGTCTTCACTTGTTGCCTCAACGGTAGGCAAAGTTTCTGCTGGACAAAACTTCCAGAGATGAGCATTCTATAATGAAGACATTACCAGTGGAAAGGCCCTGTCCCCAGTCACTCCCATTCTAGGCCCATGTTGCCAAGAGCACAAATTCAAGGGAAAGGACAATGGTGGGGAAAGAGACTACGGCAATATTTTCCTTTAGGGTGTGGGAAATTTAATAGCAGCCACTTGACTTGATTTTCATTATTATGAGGGGGAAACCCCATAACCCCAGATGTCTAGTCAATTCTAATGAAATCAAACAGAGTTGTCAGCTTTTCAAAAATGTTTCTTGTTGCATTTATATCCCACCCTTCCTCAAGGGGGATGTGTGTGGTTTCTCCCTTCCTCATTTAAACTCACAAGCCAGGCTGAAAGGCTTTGACTGGCCCAAGGTCACCCAGTGGACATCATGGCTGAGTGAGGGTTGAACCTGGGTCTTCCAGGGGCCCCCCACCCGGCTCTCTGACCACTGCACCACACATGGCTCCATGTAAATGGATATCTGAAAGCAGTTGGGTTTGCTACATTGCCCAGCACACAAGGTTGAGAATCCTTGTATCAGACACAGACACACACACAGGCGACTGTCACATTTATGGAGTGTTATAGCATACTGGTCACAGAAACGAAACCATCTACCACTCTGGCCAGCCTTTGTACAATCATGGCTCAGCTCTGAGAAAACGTCAGCATCAAGCACTGGAATGGCTGGGAAATCCATTAGAATGAAACATGGCCCCCTTTTTGTGTTCTCTCAAGCGCATAGTGGTATACATTCTGGAGATGAAATATACCTCCGAGAGACCTGCTACCAAGTTCATAATGTCAATCTTGATTTGAAATAGGTGAAAGCTCTGGAATGGATGAGTTTGAATTGCTGGCAGCGAGCGAGGATGGGAAGCAGCCAGGAGTCATTATGAAATGACTGGGGTAGCTCAGAGATGGTCATAAGGTTCTGTATTATCAGTAGCTTACTCTGTCTTCCAGACAATATCCCAGGGGTAGGGAAATGTCATATATCCCAGCCTGCCCGCCTGCCATGTTGATGGTCTTTAACAGTCAGTGCAATAAGGAGATGGATAATACATATCTTAGACAGTGCATTGTTAGACCATGGAACTCGCTCCCACAGGAGACAGTGATGGTCATCAACTTGGATGATTAGAAGTCATGGAGGACAGAAATGGGATGAGGCCAGGATGGCTGGATCTGCAAGCTGCACACCATTCTAGTTCCCCACTATGCCATTCAGCAATGCAATGCTGGGGTCATAATAATTAATATGGTGTATGGATCACAGGCACCCACAGCAGGTTAAGAAAAGGGCTGCAGCTCTGTGGCATGCAGATGGTCACAGGTTCAACCCCTGGTGTCACCAGGCAGGGTAGAAGTGCCCCTTGTCTTAATTCCTGGAGAGCTGTTACCAGTTACTGTAGACAATATTGAAGTAGAAGGACCAATAAGGCATCTTCTTTTGTTCTTCTGTTCATTGTCAGCAGGTAGGCTCATCAGATGTAGGTGAGAACCCAACAGAAGGGGCTCTCATACCTGAGGGTGAGCATGAGACCCATTGCAAGTAGAAGCACTGAGAACTTTGGAAAAAGCCAGTGTGATGTAGTGGTTAAGAGTGGTAGTCTCATAATCTGGTGAACTGGGTTCGCATCTCCGCTCCTCCACATGCAGCTGCTGGGTGACTTTGAGCTAGTCACACTTCTTTGAAGTCTCTCAGCCCCACTCACCTCACAGAGTGTTTGTTGTGGGGGAAGAAGGGAAAGGGGAATGTTGGCCGCTTTGAAACTCCTTCGGGTAGTGATAAAGCGGGATATCAAATCCAAACTCTTCTTCTTCTAAATGGATTCAAGAGTGGTGACCAGATAAAGGAATATATGGATGCTACTGAACCCAGGCCAGGCATGTTTCAAAGGTGTTAGTGAAGCAGCTAGCGGGACTCTGATATTTTGTCAAGGTGACCTTAATCACTGGAGCTCTTTCAAAAGAAGGCACTTCAGGGCTCTCTGGCATCCGTCGCCACAGTCAAAACAGGTTACCACTATAGAATTCGAACAGAGCTGCATTTAGAGCTCTTAGCATAAGGGTGAAAGGAAGAATGGGGTTGTTAATTGTGTAATTGCATTTTTATAAAATGGTATTTATAGTTGGGGAAATTTATAATTTATATTACTGTAAGTTGTAATGGATTAATATACACTTATCAGCCTACGAGCAGGCCCATTTCCATTATGCTGAAGCTCGCTAAAATGTGGAATAATCATGCTAATAGAATAAATGTACTGTTTGTCAAGCCATCATCTTTTTATGAGAAGGAATATTGGAGACGTAAGCAGGGATAGACAAAGTACATGGTGGCCAGGATGGAGAGGGGTGGGAGGCAGGAAAGAGATTTCATAGAATCATAGAATCATAGAGTTGGAAGAGACCACAAGGGCCATCGAGTCCAACCCCCTGCCAAGCAGGAAACTCCACCAGAGCACTCCTGACATATGGTTGTCAAGCCTCTGCTTAAAGACCTCCAAAGAAGGAGACTCCACCACACTCCTTGGCAGCAAATTCCACTGTCAAACAGCTCTTACTGTCTTACTGATTTGTCCAGAAATATGCTAATAATGTTATTCAGACTGATTTGCTGCTTATGCTTATGGTGATAGTCAAACCCTTTCAACACACATTGAAAACGAATATACTCACCCTGAGTACTCCAACTGGCAAAGTCAGTCCATGAACAGGAACTGGTTCCATTTCTTGATCTCTTCTTAACCACTCTGGGGAAAGGCCAGAACTCAGCAGTAAAGTG